GCAGTTAACAAATGCACTGAGCAGCGCTGTCATCAGAAATCACCCTTAACAGATGAAAGACAGTACTACAAAGATAATGCTTTCCTCAGCGGACATTGAAACTAATATTTTCATTGTCAACATTAGATTGAGCTGAAGAATGAATGCTGTATCAGATGCAGGTAACCGCATTCGCTCAGTCCATCTCTCTCTCACAATACTCTACATAACACAGTGAGCTTTTAATTAATTAATACAATAAGTTTTAAATGAAGCAACTCAACGTTCCTTCGTTACTAGTTCTAAAGTGATGTTTTCGGTAATGGAGGCTTCAGCTCAGCCGTTAAACTGTCAAACTGAGATTTGAATCTGTGGCGGAAGGAAGTAGTTCCGCACAAAAAGGTTTTTAAAGACACTCCGTTGTTGTTTTTCATATATATTTACACTCATGCCGTCGAACTGTTGTATAAACGCAATATCACTCTCGTACCCGAGCGATACCGGCTCTATATCAGCATGGCTGTGATTGCCTTACTGTAATATGAAATATTGTTACTGAAAAGTGTTATAAGATAATCAAACATAATTAAAATAATTTATTTACATTTCCAACAAAGGCAGGGTTTCTGTGGGGCATTGAAAATCATTAAAATTCATTAAATGACCTTTAATAACAGTCATTCAGGACTTCCGTTCAAAAACTCGGGAAGTCTTAATTAATTTCAAACAATTTTTTGTATAATTAATTAATTTAATGTTTATAATAGACACATTTACAGCAGAACCTCAAGTAAACTACATGTTATTTTATTTAGTCATATACAGGTGGGAGCTTTTTAAATTTATTACTCAGAACGACTTATTAGCCTACAACACCTTTAAATACTTATTCAGGGAAGTACAGCAGGATGCAGGAAATGGTTGAGTATTATTTTAGGTATAAAATATCATTATTGTAATGCTTGTAATGTCCATTTATAGTCTTTACACAGCAGCTTGGCTCCTTAAATGTTTAAACACCAGCTAATTTCAGGAAGCTGACGTGACGTGGGTCACAGTGTAAGACGCTCAAAGCTCAAGACGTTCGGTTACGTTCGAGATCAGTCGGTCGTTCGAACGTTTGATTTTAGCATGGAATAC